TTCAGGTACCTTTATCCCTTTTTTTATCTATATATATTTATATTTATATATAATCTCGACCTTAATCTGAAAATAAACCCGCTGCAGCCACTGCTGGGAACGTTCCCGGTGTGAGGGAGAAAATAAAGGATCAGCTGTTCCTTCGTCACGGAGTCAAATTCCGCTGTGGGTTTATCCAGACAACCCTGTTGTGGTGAGAGGACGCTCCCCAGGGATCCATCCCAAGGGCTGAAGGACAAGGATTTGTGTGACCACGGGGGTTTCCCTCCCTCGGATCCCATTCCTGACCTCAGCTTGCTCTCCTGGAGAGCTGCTTTCCAGAGGGATATTTAGAAGCCTGAAGGTGCCGGAGGAGCTTTTAGGATATTTAGGCATTATCCTGGAGGAGGGAGCTTGGGAAGGAAGAGCTGCAGCCCTTCCTGCTCCTTCGTTCTTGGGGCGAGACTTAAAAGCCTCCTCAGTTCGTTTTGTGTCTTAATTTATCTTATATTAATTATGGCAGCTGGAGGAAGCTTTTACAGGTGTATTGTCATGGAATATCCTGGCTTGGAAGGGATCCACAAGGATCAAGTCCAACACAGGACACCCCAATTACCCCACCAATCCCTGAGGGTGTTGTCCGGACTCTCCTTGAGCTCTGGGAGCTTTGGGAAGTGCCCATTCCCTGGGGAGCCTGTTCAGTGCCCAACCACCCTCTGGGTGGTAAATGATATGGATTATAATAGAATTATAATATGATAATAGAATATAGATTGTATTACTGAGGAAACATGAATTGCATGGGGAGAGAATCCCTTGCTGGCAAAAAATCAATGTATGGGGGTGGATTTAACAAAATAACTGTAACATAGACCTTTTTTGTTTTTCAAAAAAAAAAACATTTCCTGCTGTCCCACCAAAAAAAGCAACCCAAAAATCAGGGATCCACAGCTCTGATCCAAGCTGCTGAACAGCTTCTCTGTGTGTTCCCAGCTCTGTAATTCCCCTGGATGTTGAAAAGCCAAAGTGGATCCTCTCCAAATCCTTGTGAGTGGGGACAACGTGCAGCCAGGAGCCAGAGGCTCCGAGATAGTTTTGTATTCCCTGGATTCCCCGTTTCTTGGCTGTTTAAGACACGTTGTGGCTGCCCCTGGATCCCTGGAAGTGCCCAAGGCCAGGTTGGAGCAGCCTGGGATAGCGGGAGGTGGCGGAGTTGGAACGGGATGAGCTTTAATGCCCCTTCCCGCCCAAACCATTCCAGGATTCCGCATCCCGTCCTGTTTCCCTGCATGGGGTCAGTTTGAACCAGGAATTCCACATGGCTGAGAAATGCCTGTGAGGAAGGAGGAAGGTGGAAGTGCACGAGGGTTATTTTGGAGTTGCTGTGGCATTCCCGGCTCGGGCCAGAGCGAGGAACATTCCTTCTGCCAGGAGCGGGAAAACGTGCGGGAATCCCTAAAAAATGCCTGGTGAAAACACCGGGGTTCCCAATTTTAGCTGTGGTTTTGGCAAACACTGGTGTGAAGAGGGAGTTTGGGGTCTCCTGGGAAGTCTGGTTTTGCTGGATGCACAGTTTGGGGCCTCCTGCTAAAAACCTCCTCCGCGCTTCGGATTTTCATCCCGGAGCGCAAAGAACATCCTGCGATTTGTCTCTGAATGCAGAGTATTCCAGGACCACAAAGTTTTCCAGCTGTTTCCTTGGAGATGCTGAATTGCAGCTCTCCCGGTGGTTTTATCTGGAGTAAAAACGCAGCCAGGAGTTCTGTCTCCATTGGAGGGGGAAATTTTGGGTTCAAAAGGGTGGTTTGTTTTTTTTTTATCTGGGAACCCATTGGAAAGTTGTGTCTCTCCAGCACTTTGCAAAATGATTCCTTCAAAAAGAAATACGTGGAATTTTAAAATAGGACAAGGTGAAGGGGTTTTGTTGTTGTTGAAGGTGAGGGATCATCTCCGAGAGCAGGTCAAGGTTGGGAATGAGCAGGTCAGGGTTGGGAACGAGCAGGTCAGGGTTGGGAATGAGCAGGTCAAGGTTGGGAATGAGCAGGTCAAGGTTGGAAGTGACAGGTCAAGGTTGGAAGTGACAGGTCGGGGTTGGGAATGAGCAAGTCAGGGTTGGGAATGAGCAGGTCAAGGTTGGGAATGAGCAGGTCAAGGTTGGGAATAAGCAGGTCAAGGTTGGAAGTGACAGGTCAAGGTTGGGAATGAGCAGGTCAAGGTTGGAAGTGACAGGTCAGGGTTGGGAATGAGCAGGTCAAGGTTGGGAATGAGCAGATGAAGGTTGG